ATTACGCTAACTGACTCTTTTGCACTTTTAACCATGATAAAATCTTGTTACCTCATCAAAAACACACTTTAAAAACACAATGGAGCACTTCCTGTATCACCACAGAACATTACTAAGTGGAACATAGTGTTTTCTGGTTGAGAAAACAACTCAGATAAATATGCAGGGTTTGTGTGTTAAACATGTGTGAATGAAACAAAACACAATTCCAGGTATATTTGTGATGAGGAAACATGATAATACAAATCAGCAGTGTTAGGAAGGTTACTTTTAAAATGTATTCCCCCTACAGTTTACAGATTACATACACCAAAATGTACTTTGCAACGTAATCCATTAAATTACTTAAAGTGAGTAACGTAATCTGAATATTTTGGATTACTTGATTTGCTGTAGAGAAGCAAAGATGAGGAGATCTTCACATGAGATATTTTGTCTGCTAAAAAACAATGAAAAGCCCAGACTTTACTTAACCAAATTAAAAATATTATTGATAGAAGATGAGGAGACATGGTCCACACAGCATGGTTTAGTCCTGTTAAATCCTGTTTTAGACCTGGTTTTTGTCCTGGTTTAGTCCTGGTTTAGACCTAGTTTAGACCTGGTTTTAGTCCTAGTTTAGTCCTGGTTCAGACCTAGTTTATTCCTAGTTTTAGTCCTGGTTTAGTCCTGGTTTAGACCTAGTTTAGACCTGGTTTTAGACCTGGTTTAGACCAGGTTTTAGACCTGGTTTAGACCAGGATTAGAACTGGTTTTAGTCCTGGTTTAGACCTGGTTTAGACCTGGTTTAGTGTCCGGCAATGACTGGAATTACCGAGGGAAAAAAAAAAAAAAAAAAGGGAATAACCCAAAATGTGAAAATAGGAAAATACCACCGTGTAATCCATTTATTTCAACCAAGTAACTGTAATCTAATTACCACTCACTGAAACAGTAACTGTAACTGAATACAGTTACTCATAATTTGTACTCTGATTACATAACTCTGGTACATGTAATCTGTTACTCCCCAACACTGCAAATCAGTAATAAAGTAATAAAGAAATACAGGCCCTTTAACACCATAGCAATAACATCTCATATTACTGACTAAAATTCTACTAGAAAATGTTAAGTAATGTTTTTGTTTTGATGTCTGCTGGCTGGTCGAAAGTGTAATGTAGTGTCACCTAAAAAATATATTTTCTGCTTTAACGTTCTAGACAATGACAGTATAGGATGAGAAACAGAAAAAGTTCAATTACCAGTAACAAAAATTCTGGCGCAGAATAAACATGTGTTGTGTTTGTGTTTATGTTTATTTACTTTATTAATAAGATAAAATGGCACTCTTCAACCACGGCAACAGGGAGAGTGCAGTCCATGAGACCTTTTTCCAGATCTTGAGCCAGTGTAATGTAGTATGTAGTGTGTGGTTTTAAGGATCTTAGAGTGAATAAAGACTGATGGCTCATTCTAACGTGTTAAACATGCACACATTTCAATTACTCACTGTACTGAGCACCAGTCTACGGCCCTCAACCAGCCCTCTGCTTCGTCTGTGTTTAGATATGTGGTCCTTGATGAAAAAAGTTTGGACATCCCTGGTCTACATCTTCAAAGTCAAAATGCTCTGTTCCACCTTGTGATGTCATGAAGCGGTGGTTTTCAAGTTAACATCTATCTTTAAATTTTAGTTCTTTAGTTTCAGTAGAGATTGGCAATTCCAGAGCTGAAATCATCCAAATGATTCTAATGGTGTGTATTACAACATGACATCACAAGGTGGAACAGTGTGTGTACTGTTTGAGAGAAGAGCTCAGTCTAAATATGCAGGGCTTGTGCATTAAACATGTGCAAATGAAACAAAACACAACTCCAGAGAAAACATTATAACATAGATTAGTGGTGTGCAAAAATATTTATATATCGGTATATCGCATCATTTAATGTGATGATATAGTATCGATATCTTGGGCTGCTGTATCGATATATCACCAAGAGTATTTTTGGTATATTTTGCTAAATTATTTTGTTACAGTGCTACAGTTGTGTTGTTTGTTCAGAGGAAAGAAACTTGTTTGTGTGACACATTTGACATTTTCACTGTTTTGAGGATTCAAATGTTTGTGTTAAGTAAAAAGAGTTTTAGTATAACAGTTATGATTTAGACATAATTTTTTATTGAACCATATCGAATTGATTTGAAATATATCATATCAAATCGAAAGTGCACTGTATCGAGATATGTATAGTATCGTGGCCTATGTATCGAGCTATGTATCGTATCGGCATAGATCATAAAATAGCGTAATGAGCAATTTAAAATGAACAAAATGGGTTCTCCTCTTCAGATCCAGTATTAGTAACCTGAGATACCTTTTCGGCTTTGTGCCAGTCTGCCCAAATTCAGTAATGCCCATATTAAAAACTAATTCTTAGGTATTAGGTGGAGTTTCACAGTAATGAAAAGATGAGACTGTTGCCATAGCAAGTAATTCCTAACAAAATATAACATCTTTTGAACCATCTGTCCTCAAAATGGCACCATATAGGAAGAGAAAGCTGAAATCCATGAATTGGTAATAATGTTTGACAATACTATGAGTCAACTGGCCAGGATCTTACATTTGCCAAAACAGCAGCAGGAGTATACAGACAGTGCATGCCCCTGATTCTTGAGGTGATGCCCGTTCAGAAATAGCGCAGACAGAATCGCCTCTGGCCCCCTCAGCTGTTTCTGTTTGATTATTTGTTGTGGCTTCTTGGAGAACTGGGCTGATGGTGAAAATCAAGAGCGTTAATTCACTCATTTCCTGCTTCGTTCGCGAATAATCCAATTTAAAGGCACGTGTCAGAGCTCCAGAAATTTCCTCTTTCAAATGATTAAACGCCTCACCAGATTTTGATCTTATTGCGACTGTATATTATTTTTAGGCTGACTGTAGAGGCTAAAGATGATGTATGAAACTGAATGCGAGTGTTATGTGTGTATTTAGGTAGCTAACAGTGCGTTTTATGATTGTAGCGTCAGCGTTGCCCATAAACAATCACCTCTCGAAAGTGAAGTAACCATCTTGCTCTGCTTTTATCTTTGGAGGCACTCCTGGCTACCTTTCGTCATACGGTCACGATTTTGCATGGCGTCGTGCCCGCGCCTACGTCACGAGCATTGGAGAAGAAGATGAAGTGAACAGAGGCGCGTGCCCAGGATAGACAAGTTCCATTTGGGTCTAAAAATAGTTTGTTCCCGGTGTCGGTACGTCGTGGTACACGTCTGGTGACGTCATTGGTGCTTTTTGTTGAAGGAGTAAATTGACCTTTTCTGCCGAGAGCCGTTCCCAGTTTACCTTCCTGCTTTCATTTATGTTCCGCACACTATTTTTACGCACAAACGAGAATAACTGCAGCTCTTTTTTAGTTCAGATACTACAACAGGGTGTTTTGATCGCGCTGTGTGTATGGTTCATATACACAGTGTATAAGCTGCACCGCGCCTTGATGACACAACGTGCGTAAACCCTGAGCCAAATTACAAATAACGTTACGCGATGACAGATTTTCAGTGCGCAAAGTGACACGGGACCATTATGAAACTTCAGCTATTAGGAACGTGCATCACGATTCCAGAAAGCACCAGAAATGTGTTGTTCATGCCCGTTGGCTTTGTTAGAATATCTGAATTGGTTTTGGTTATTTAAAAAAATCCAATATTATACAACTGTCAAAGTTATAATGGAGGAAATGGTGATGAAAGTTTCTGAGAAAGAACAAAGTGGTGTCCGTGCGTGTACGTGCACCGGGGGCACGGGGGGCGAGCGGGGGGATTAACGGATGGGTCACGGGGGGAGCAGTGTGGATGACTCATACTGTGTGTTCAGCCTGGACACAGCCCTAAATGCGAAGATGTGAATGGCAAATAAAGGACCATGTGAGAAACAATGTAGGATATATAAAACTATGCAAAAAGTGGGACACATTATGTGATTTTCCTTCTGATGTTTGTACAATTATTATGGTTAGTCGTGGATTTGAATTGCCTAGATTGCGTAATAATCTCTTGCTCTTTATTCAATCCCTTTCGAGACCAAGGCCACTTTTGGCTCATGGTGCGTAATGGCTAGTTACTTAACTTGAAGCACAGTTGGAGTCTGCAAAACCAAAACAGATAAACCACTTTAACACCAGGTTTAATGGGCCATGTACTTCTAAACAGACTGAGTGTCATTTCCCTTTTCTCCCTTCCTGACCTCAAAAGCTGTTAAACATTAATTTCCCCACACAACAAGCACCATTACGCACTCGCTACAAACCAAACTGTACCGTAATAAAAGCCGTGCGTCTTTAAGTGCGTTTGGCTTTGCCTTGGATTTTGTCCCAAATGATTCCTTGGTTTAAGGGGATAGTACCCGTGATAGGAATATTTATAATACTTTTTACTTCAGTTGAGATTCAGTTTATGACTAAAGCTGCAGAAGAAAGTTGAAATACAGGAAGTATGAGTTCTTAATATGAACTATCTATCTATCTATCTATCTATCTATATACGCGTTTTAATGTTTGCAGTTTAGTGCAAGAGGCATGGACATTTAACCTCAATCCTTAACTATTGCGTAAATTAGACAAGTTTCAGCACATTATTGTTGCTAGGTAACGGTTATGGCATTACCTCTAGGTATGTCACATCTACTGTCCATGTCCAGTCATTAAACTCAACAAAATTGGACAAACTATAAGGAAAACAAGGTGATTGCGTCTTAGTGTTCAGTACAGTCATGTTAACAGTGTTTTAGTGAAACGTATAGTCTAACGTGTCGTATGAACTTTAAATTTAACTGCTGCTTTAATTATTAGTGCCATTGCCAAGTGGAATTACCCTTGACACCTGTTAACGCCCCCATTTTTCCCACCGACGCCACCAGGACTCCCGGCGGCTCGAGCCTCGTTGTTATGGCCGTCTCCCGCTGCGCGCACGCACGGTCGCACACTCCCCGGTCATAAGTGAATGACGGCAGGTCGCTATGGAAACTGCGTTACGCTCCGGGCTGCTCGAGGGAAGAAAACAAGAGCGCGAGGACTCTTCTCAGTCTTCATTTCAGCACCACGCGTCTACCGGACAGCGCCCGGATGACCTGGCGCTACAGCACACACAGCCAGCCCTCGTTTGCCTTATAAGGGACAACCGATTAACGTATCATAAACACCGCCGTCTATCCGGTGTGGGCAGGAGCGAGTCCAGGAAACAAAACAGACTAACAAAGAAAAAGAAGTAAGAAGGCACTCCGCGACACAACCTCTTTGGACACGTTGTACTTGGCTCCACAGTTCGTTTAGGGGCAAACGCTCCTTCTAATACCACAGCAACAGGTAAGGAGAGCTCCCAGTGCTGTCAACTTTACTAAAAAGCTTCTAGTTTAGTTGCATGCATGAACTATATAACGCCACAAATCCTCTTAACTCGCTACTTCACTTACTGTAACTGCAATAGTAGTTTAAACCTACAGGCAAGACCTGTCCAAGTCTGGGAAAATATTTCTTCATTGTATAAACGTATATTTTGAAACATTCTTGCAAATATTTAATTATGAAGTATATATTTTCATGCACATTCTAAGGAAATGAGAGTTGGTTTATCAGTCCAGGAAGTAATGTTAAATTCAGAAACTTAATTCATTGAGGATTTCCAAAACTTGACAACTTTGGCAAATGTTTTATTGTAGACACATAAATAGACACGTGACCACATTGCATATATGACTACCAGTCCAAGTATTTTAACATGTTCAGAATGAGTAAGTAAGAGGAGGTGAAGCTGACATTTTCAAGCACAAATCCAAACCCAAATCAGCAGCAGCATCTTGCATGTAGCATGTTTTGCCTTCTCAGCCTGTGCCCTGCGTGTATCTGTGACACAGTGGGATTTGTTGGGTTTTCAGTGGCCATAGATTATGTGAGAGCTGAGCCGATACGCCTGGATGAGTCACTCCGGCTGCAAGTTTGCAGAAATGTGCGAAAGGGGAGGGGGAAGAGGGGGGGAGAGCGGGGTCTGAGCCAGGGGGGAGAAAACAGTCCTGCAGAGGCACTGTGGTTTATTGTGATCCCCGTGAACCTCGGGACCACACCAGACCATTTTGGATGAATATTTGGGGAGCTTTTAACGAGATTTCAATGTTTTCTGGTAAGCTTGATGTTAATGTAAGTTCATGCATGGCCATATACAAGTAGATGCATCTCTGTACCAAGTCTGTATCTGTTTATTTATTTATTTATTTATTTGTAAATGTCTAAGTAGCCTTTTAATGAGTTTGGATGATGACGAGGACAATGATTTGTAATTGGCTATGTAGCTCTAGATGTTTTAAAACTGTAATCAGCTTTTGAAAGATTCTGAGCCCCCTTTGAATTTGTTTATTTTAGTTTTAAGTTCATGAATGAAGTAGATATTGTCGATTCATTTGCCGTTTGTTTACGCTGACTAGGCTGTGTTGTCAAAAGGAATTTCAAATCATATTTCTTCTTCTTCTTCTTCTCTGTCCAGCTATAGATGTAGTTTCTCCAAGTCTGTGGAACACGCCAGGGAGGGCATCTGGCTTAAATCAAAACCCGTGCATGATTGAAATGAACACACATTGTAGCAGGAGGCAGATTATTTGCTGTGACAATGCAATGAGAGAAAAGCTTTAAAACAAAAGACCCATTTCCCCTCAGACACTTAGCTAAAGAGGTGGTCTGTTTTGCCCTGGACCAAAAGCTCTTCCGTGTTTGATAAACTGACCACAGAAAGCTCCCCATTACCTCTCATTAAGACTCAAATGTTTACGCCGCTGCCATTGACAATCATAGCAATCATGCCCATTCATTCTCAGCCCCCGAGTGACAAGTATTGATTAGAGCTAACAAAAGATAATAATGCTTTTCTCACTGCAGCCCTGCACTTTGAGACACTTTCCCTTTACGCACAAACAGCCTCACATAATCTCAACTAACGCTGAGTTCTGGTTCACTTGATTAGACAAACGCTTATTGGAGAACATGTCGATTTTTTTTTTTTTGGCTACTTTGTGAAAGCTTTGTGCACGGCTTTCCAAAAAGGGATCACAGCACGTTAGAAGAGAAATTAATTGTGTCGGACTGAATTATACTTTTAAAAAAAACAAAAAAAAAAACGTGTGTGAACAGTCCCCTCTGGATCCTAGCTGGAGTTTGTTGTGTTGTACTGCTAGATAAGTGCATACATGTGGAAGTGGAGAGTAGAAAATAGATGTATGTCTTTAATTAGTGACGTTGGTGTGATTAATGGAGTCTGGTGCTGATGACTCACTCGGATTAACCCTTGCCACGCCGCCGGAAACAATCAATAAACAAAGATTAAAAACTCGCCACATTGATTTTTTTTTTGCTGCATTTGCGGTTTATATTCACAGGGGTATGAATTAGACATACAACAAGTGCAGTTCACTTGTATTTTATTGATAACTCTGTTCCAGGAAACATTTTATTGTGAGACGAATCTGAATCAAAAGCAAAAACAGATGTGTCCATTTTGAAAAATTGCCAATACTGTATCTATATATATATATTTATTTTTATTACCATCGTCTATTGAGATTATGAATGGCAATAATGTGTAGTAGATGGAATAATATTTTGAAAGTATAGTAAAATACATTTGGCTTTTGAAAATATTACTATACTAAGAGTAAACTGCAAGTCTGTAAATACTTCATTAGTTGCTGATATAAAATAAATACAACAAAATGAGACTTACCTTTCCGTTGATACCTGTTCGTGGGGCAGTGCGGTGAAAGATTATCAAGTAGATGTACAGAGACCAGTTTAAAGCAGCACTTTTTTGGTGGAGGGTTCGTCACCTTCTTGTTTGTTCCACAGTATGGTATTAGACTTATCTATCGCCATGGAGACAAGCAGCTGACGCCATTGAGCAAAGTTACAGGTTATACTGTATGAGTCAAAATGCGACCACGTTCACAGTAAGAATACATGTTTTTCAAGGTATTTTTCACTAATAAAAACACATGGATATGGAAATTATTATAGAAATAGCATCTCCATGGAGACAGGCAGCTGGCCGACCTTCCACCACAGATAAAGTTACACAGTGCAGCTTTGAATACTGTAGTTGATTTTCATTCAAGGTAACCCATAACCTTATTTCTAAACAAGTATTTGCCACTATGTTATCTCTCCAGAGGAAAAAATCAATACATAATGATTAAAACTGTCCCTTTTCAGCATTCTTTAATACAATAATTACAATGAGAGTGGTTTAGTGATGATTCTGAAATCCACAAACCCAAGCTTGATCTGTTCATACTATATCAACACCAGACTGTGTATATTAATGCTTATGAATGTGAACATTTAAATACAATCTCCTCACAACATGCCGTATTTTCCGCACCATAGCGAGTGCAATGTGCCACTTCTAGACACAACTGAACAACTGAGTCACCACGCGCCACAACTGAACAAAGCCGAGACTCACCGTGAACGCGCCAAACAAAGTCCGACTGACCCATCTAATTGTTGTGTTTCGTTTAAAGTCCGGTGCAGTTTATCTGTGAAAAAAGTTAGAAAATAGACCATTCTATGACAGTGCGCCTTATAATCCAGAGCACCAAATAGTGCAGAAAATAACGGTACAACTATTTATTTATCATTTATGTTATAATGTTGTTTCCTCATCACAAACAGACCTGGAGTTGTATTTTATTTCACTCACACATGTTTAACACACAAACCCTCCATATTTAGGCTGAATTCATCTCACAAATTGAAAACACTGTTCCAACTTGTGATGTCATATTGAGCCAATTTGCCAATGCTGAACACCCAGTATGAGTCAGCCAATGATTGCCAATCTCTACTGAACTAAAGGTAAAATGTAGCTGTTAACTTGAAAACTACCCCTACATGACATCACAAGGTGGAACAGAGTATTGGAAATGGAGACAGACTAATAATGCAGAGTTAGTAAAACATGTGTGAATGAAGCAAAACACAACTCCAGGTATGTTTTTTTAGGAAGTAACTCCATTACAACATGGCTGAAAGCTCACAAGAGTAAATTTTGTGTAATATGGGCAACAAATTTTCTGAAAAAAAAAAAAAAAAAAAAGCTGTAGTAAAAGGTAATAAATAGCAGAGATTAGTAAACATTATTCAAAAGTATCACATCATTGTATCTTGTACCCACCTCGGCTAATTTGTCAGTGTCTAGTTTCTCTCATAGGATTATTTATGCAGAGCAGATCTGTGGAGTGCTCCATGTGTTGCCGTGTCAACACAGCAGTTACATTGGCATTGTGGTGAAGCTGTGAGACAAGCTGTGAGTCCCAGACAGCAGACTGAGAGAGAGACTGACCAAGCAGAAAGAGGAGAAAGAGGAGAGGAGGAGAGGAGGAGGAGGTATTTAGGAGTAGTACTATCACAAACATTTTCAATACTGAGGCATTCCTGGGCAGTATTGACAAAAGTAAGGACCTAGAAATGTATTTGGAGCATCTTAGTTTAGGTTAAAGGCATACCGTGCAACTTTTGTGATGGAGGGTCCGCGCTAGTGTTCGTGAAGATGTTATTGGTTTGTCTAGAATGTTCCACAGTAAAGCTTAAACCTGTTTATCTGAAAGAAATCAACTACAGACTACATTACAGGTCAGATCCGTGGAGAAGCAACCCTATTCACAGAGAGCATTTTTAAGCAATAGAAACACCCGTAATGAATAAATGCTGTGCCATACCATGGAACATTTCAGGCAAAGCAATAAAATCTCCAAACCTGTGACGAACCCTGCACGGGAAAAGCTGCGCATTGCATCTTTAATGTATCAGACAAATTTGAAATGGCAGTGAAATTATCCATACAAGTGCACAAGATATCACTTGGTATCCTTGTTTGGAGTTTACAACATACTTCATCATCATTTTTATCACCTTATTTTTCATAATAAACAATGTACTAAATAATATACTTTTGCATGATCTTATAAAGAGCTTGAAAATCAGTTTCTGGATGCTAAGAAAAAAAGGAATATCCCAACCAACACTTTTCAGCATCAGCAGTAATTTACAAATAAAAGTCAGTTGTGTATTTTGAACCAGCCTTGAAGGAGTCCTGTCTATACCAAGGCCCTGTCGAGAGGAATGTCAGTAGACTTCAAAATAACAATGAAAGATGGTTGTTTTTGGGGCTAGAATTACAGCTCAAAGGTGACACAATATTTTATTATAGCAATTTACTCCCCCTCCCATTTGACCTGTGTATACTGGTCAATACAGTTTCACTCACTCTCTGTTGTTCCAGTTATTTCAAACTCTATTGTAAAATGATCAGGTACTCCACCCTGATTATTTTATATTTTACATTGCGATCTCACCGGTTAAAGGCAAGAGAGTAGTTGGCCACGGTTCACTAAAAATTGTCCAGTATTTTTACAATGACAAATAAGGATGTACAAATAACCAACATTTTGTGATACTGTATCGTCAAAAGTCTCAATAATATCATGGGCCATCACAATATATGGCATTGCAAGTGTCTTTGCTTAAATTCATTGTTATGCAGCGGCAATAGCTATATAAACAAACACAGAGAACTTCATAGACCATGATCCTTTGCTGTTTTAGTACAGACTGCATGAAGAAATAACTGTTAACAATAACTAAGCACTTTTAAATCTGAATTATTTGGCATATGACAGAAAAGTTGCGTATTCAGAATTTTGTTAACCTCTTTAAAATATGGCAACAAATACCATACCGTGAAACACATCGTGAAAAACCTTGAGAGAATTGGATTTCGTTGCATCCCGAATGACAAATGAGTCAATATTATCCTCTTCTAACCCTCATTACTTATTTACCATAACTTAAACTGTTTCTCTATTTATCTTTAATGGCCCTCATTATAAGAAAGAAGCAATGAAAAATAAATAAATAAATCATATGCTTATGTAACTTGTCTAGTCTATTTTCTTTAGAAAGAAACAAACATAATCACTGTTCAATACAAAGACAAAATTCAGTTTTTAAACATTGATATTTTTGTTTTCAACCTCCTGCTGATACAATATAACTGTTTTATGAAACATTCTGTGCATACTTCATTTACCAGCAGTGGCTGAGTGGCTTTAGCACTCATGCCTCACAGCAATTTAATTACCCATCTGACAGTAATACAACAAAATAAGATCTACAAGAAAACAAAACTTGCTTACTTACTTACTTTAGATCTTCTTTTATTATGTATGTTTCTACTTTATTTTGACTTGTACATATACATTTATATATATATATATATATATATATATATATATATATATATATATATATATATATATATATATATATATATATATATATATATATATATATATCCATTACTAACTGCAAATGTACCATGTATCATTAAATAAAACTTGCTTATTCACATCATATATCCAGTGTGTATTCCAGGGCAGCAGTATGTCTTAAGCTAAATCACCACATATTAAACCATATCTTATCTGTTGACAACATTACTAAAAATACTACATTCTGCTGTTGTAACTCCATTTACCTAATACAAAATTTTACTACCAGTGTAGCATAGATAGAATAAAATGTACTTATTCGCATCATGTATTTCCTGTCTGTTCTAGGGCAGCATTTGTCAGCATTACTAGCATGACTACTTTCTGCTGCTACTGTTATGAAAAATGTAAACATTAAACTATAACTGCAGAACAGATAGAATACGACATACTTATTCATGTCATATCTTTTTATTCCAGGGCAGCAGTATGTCTGAAGCCAAACCAGGCCAGCGCTTTCACAGTCTGAACGCTGAGCAGGTGGAGGTTCTGCATCAGGTTCTGTCCGACGTGGTTCCGATCCATGGGCGCGGTAACTTCCCCACTCTGGAGCTGCGTCCTCGTGACATCATCATCGCCGTGAGAGACCAGCTGCAGCGGCAGGGCATTCGGGTTAGGGACGTGCGCCTCAACGGCTCCACCGCCAGCCACGTCCTGGTGCGTGACAACGGCACCAGCTACAAAGACCTGGACATCATCTTCGGAGTGGAGCTGCCCACTCAGGAGGAGTTTCAGGTAAACTAAAGAGACGCAAATTTACTGTAGATTTTTACTTTATTTTACTCCAGGAGCCAGATTTGCCTATTGATTATATTGCATCTTACCATGAAATATCCAAGAGGTAAACTCACAAATGTTGAAAGTGATTATTTTTATTAGTGACTAAACCCTAAAAAGAGTTATCCAGGCTGTTGCCACCTTGTGCCTACGCTCAATTTTATTGCTCTCCAGCGACTAGGTCAGGAATCAGAATACACTAGACGGTTTGCAAGAACCCCGGAAGTTCTAGACTGCGCGCTGACCAATCAGTGAAGAGCTATGATGCTATGACGCCAAACTCAAGTGCCTGTGTGGGTCCCTTTTGTGGTACAGCACAACAGTAAACAAAGCAGTTGAGATGGATGTAGACAAAGCCATACATTATTTTTAGGTTAGTTATTTTATTTCAAACCTGCACATACAATTCACAATATAACAAAACAAATGCAGATACAAACATGCAGGTTTAAAAATGGAATGGATGAAGCAAAGTTTTTACATTTCCAATCCCCTCCCACATTTGACAGACTTAGTATATTCAACTTAGTATATTATACATTCTGTGTTAGCAACAATTCCCGAGATCGAGGATTTAAAGTCCCAACAAAGAGAATGTTTGGTGAATTTTATCAAGGGGAAAGACATTATTGCCCTTCTTCTTACGCGATTTGGGAAAGTCTTACCAGTTAGCCCCCCCAGTTAGCGGCGCATTACATGCGTCACAACCAAATAGCAGTGATTGGTTAAATAAAAAAAATCCCTGCCTACTGTTGAGTGAACTAATTCTAACTCTGTGAGGTCAGATTGTTTCCACAAAGTGAAACTGGCTGATGTATCAGGCTAAGAAACAGCTATAAATAAATACTAAATATATATTAGTCTATAGAATGAAACCCTGCAATAATATGTAACTTTTCTGGTGGGTGGATTCGTCACCGGCTTGTCTCCATGGAGATGTTGTTACAATTGTCTGCAATGTAAAATGTCAAAAACACCTGTATTCTGATCTGCAGCATAATCTGGTTGCATCATCGTCATGTCTCTATGCAATGGATACATTTAATGCCATGCTCTGGAACATTCTGTGCAAAACATTAACAGCTCCATGAAAACAAGCAGCTGGTATACCCTTCAGTAGAGTGCACCTTTAAGAATCAACCAATTTAATCAACCCAAAATACATATTTTCAGTACATATTGTTAGCAGTATATTTGAAACAGGTCAGACGTGGTAAAATGCACCTCTGCTGGTTCTGGGTATTGTCAAAAATTCTACTCTAAGCAAATGTTTTTCAGGACTAAACATATATAAATAGTGCTCAAATACTCAAATACGCACACAACCTTTAGATCTGCCTTATTCACTGCAGAAAGGTTTAGGAATCAATGTGTAGGTTATTTATGTTAAGTGAATATCTGAAAACAGCGTATAAAAGTAAAGTGCTTTAAATTGCTATCACGTAAGCTGAGAAAACAATTTAAAGTGAAATTGATTCTAAACGGGTACAAAACGATGAGCCAATATAAATATGAGGAGCAGCTTATTACTTTTAGTTGTAGGGCAGACAGACTCCCATCGCCACACTTCACTCTTAAACACTATTGATTAACTCTGTTCTCATAATGTGACTTAATACCGTGATACCTTCTGTAAGTCTCCCTTAAGCCTTTTATATGCTCCAAGTCTATTAGACATTTTACACAGGCCAGGAGGTTCCTTTCTGCAGATTTAACCTAACTTCAAGCAGCTTTATTATCTTAAGCACTGTACACCGACTCAGCTCCCATAGCCACGTTGGTCTATTGATTTTTCCTCTCTTAATAAAAGTCATTGTAATCCTAACAACACTACAATTTGCCCAATCAATACATACAATACAATAGTGCTGGTCTCATTTGTAGTAATTCAAAGGGCCAATATTACTTATTTTCTGAGCAGTGGCGGCAGTTAGCAATTTAGGGGTCCTAGGTGAAATTGAGTTTGGGGCCCTCACTATAATGCACATTTTTATTATTCCTCATTATTCTTGACACATGCACATCTCTATTTACTTGAATTATGGTGGATTGGAAACGCGCCTTATTAGTTCGGTCGCCTACTAGATAACCAGACCTGAAAGTAGTTTTATTTTTTTGCTAGTACAATTATATTTTTGTTTACATCCATTACATATGATTAAGATAAGTAAACTACTCTCATTTAATGTCATACTGAGAGAAAATCAAATTGCCCTCAGCCTTTAGGGACTCTGAGTGCAACTGGTTGGGGGCCCCTCCAGGTTTGGGGGCCCTAAGCAGCCGCCTACTTTTGCCTAAAGGTAGCGCTGCCTCTGTTATAATGTTGTTTCCTCATCAAAAGCATACTCAGTGTTTTATTTTGTTTCATTCACACATGTTTAACACACAAACCCTGCATATTTAGCTCTTCTCTCTAACAGAAACAGTTGTCATGTGGTAATACGGAAAGTGCTCCACGTGTTATTTGTTTTTTGTTTTGTTTTGTTTTTTAACTCCATACACCTTCACTAAAAGCGTTTGGATGATTTCAGCCCTGAAATTGACAATCTCCACTGAACTAAAGATAAAAGGTAGCTCTTAACTTGAAAATCTACCACTTCATTTTGAGCTTTGGAGATGCAGACAGACTGATAATGCAGGATTACTCAAAGATGCGTAAATGAAGCAAAAAGCAACCCCAAGTGTGAAGTGACAACATTATACCATGGCTTAAAGCTTATTAGAGTCAGTTTTTCATAATATAAGACCTTTAATGAAACAAGCGATATTGCGGTGGGACTTTGATTCATTATTACAAGCTGTGATTTTGATGTTGTGTTTGTTTGTGTAGGTGATAAAGGAGGCAGTGCTGGGGTGCCTGCTGGACTGCTTGCCCACTGGGGTCAACAAGGAGCGGATCAGCAGCGCGACAATGAAAGAGGCCTATGTGCAAAAGATGGTCAAAGTCTTCAATGAGCACGATCGCTGGAGTCTCATCTCTCTCTCCAACAACAGTGGCAAAAATCTCGAACTTAAATTTGTCAGTTCGTTACGGCGACAGTTTGAGTTCAGCGTGGACTCTTTTCAGATCATTTTGGACCGTCTCCTTGAGTCGTACATGGCGCAGGACTTGCAAAGAAAAACTAAAGACGTTGACCTTAAAGAACCCCCGAGGGATAATCATAACAAGCAGGCAGGCGCTTCTCCTAAACAAGGTGAAATGGAGAAGTCTAGCCAAACCGCACGGACAGACACAGTGCACGAAAAGGAGTCGCAAACTGAACTATCTTTGCAAAACAACCACCAAACAAAAGACTCAAAGCTCAAAAAGAAAGAAAAGTTTGGTCAAAAAACACCCGCAGAGTTGAAAGACATAGCTGAACATGGTGGAAATGTCATACCGGCGATCCAGACTACTTCAAATGAGGTTTCCAAGCAGCAGAGTGAAACACAGGAAACTGAAAGTGAGATTTTGGACACGACTGAACGCCAGAAAATGGCAGAACACTCAGTCCAAATTTGTTCGTGCGATGACAGGGAGGCACTATGTTCAAACCAGGAACTGAGTGTCCAGAGAGAGCCATCTAGCCACTCAGAAAAGGCAGAGATAACTGAGAAAAAGGGACAATTTCAGCTGCCAGAAATCTCAGATAAAAGTGGGGGCGACCTGGCTCAAGAAATGGTCGGTAATGGACACTCAGATGAAGGAAAGAGTTCAAACCAGGAGCAAAACGAAGATGAAAATGCTGCTTCTACTACAGAGGCAGAAAGATCTTTGAAAGCAGCAGCAGAGTTACACACACTAGTGACAAATCTGAAGAAGAGAGCTGTAGAAAGCGAGACTGGGGAGAAGGTGGGAACAGAGAAAAATGACGACAGCCAGGAAAGTGAAACAAATGAAGGAAGTTTAGCTTCAGAAATGCACCACAAAGACTCTGCAAGTTCAGATAGTTCCTGCTCCACCTTGTCAAATCATCAAGCTCAGAGTATGTCAGATACACTAGAAATTCCCCATACACTTTTAACAGAAAGCGGAGAAAAAACTCAGGATAATCTACCTGCACCATCCGGCCTTCTTCTCATCGACAAAAAAACCTCGAAAGCTTCGGAGAGACTGTCGTACATGGTGGTGCTCAAACACTCCTCTCCAAAACCTCCTCGGAGAATGTGCCGAAAAGTGTCCCCCACTTCCATTCCGCAAAACGAAACTGTCCAGACGCCATCTTTGGGTCCTTCTCCCTGTCCCAGCCCTGAACCCGAAGAAACTTTGAAATCAAATGACGATATTTTAGATTCATCCAAAATTGAAAATCACACCACTTCCACAAACGCAGAACCAAGCTTACACCTTACCTCATCTTCTAATGATTTAACGCAGAATTCACTTTTAGATAACCGATGTGAGAGCGCATCCCAAGACTCACCACCGCCACCTACAGACCAACAAATCGAGCCCGTCACCGTTACTTCTTTAGAAACTGCCTCTGCTGTAATACAATCAGACCCGCCTGACTTAGTGAACCAAGAAAGTTCTGAAATCCAAAAATCAATTGAAAATACCTCAGAAGTTGTGCTCAGTGACGCCGTAAAACTTCAGGAAATAAAAATAGACATTGACGAAGCGAAGAGCGTATCACTTGAGATCCCTCAGTGTACAGCCCCTCCCGTTTCTTGCCTTGCGCCTCCAATTTTAAGCTTCTCCGCTCCATGCTACACCCCGTCACCTCCCAGCCTTAGCCCTCCTCCTTGCATAACTCCTCCATCTCTTTGCATAAACACAGTTAGTCCTAGTACTAGCTTTAGCTCCGCTCCGTTGAGTTTCAGTCCTACCTCTTCTTGTCTCAGTTCTCCTCCGTACCTCACCCCTCCCATGCTTAGCCTTAGCCCCCCACCCTCCTGCCTGAGCCCCCCCCTCCTCTGCCTCACTCCCCCGGTGGATTCTTCAGACCTAGTAGCTCAGGTATCAGCAGATGTAGACATGCCTTTGATTCTCCACACAGACAGTAGTGAGCAGAACATGAAAGAGGCCGACACTCAGCCAGCCGTTCCCCTTTTAGAGACAGTGGATGAGAAACAGGTAGATTACATATCGACTCTGCCTCAGGGCTCTAAACCTGTGTCTTTCCCCATCACCATCCCCAACACGACCGCAAATGTGCTGCCTCAGTCCAAAGAGCCAGTGGAGTCTGCTGCTCCCATAGTGGACGTGGCGCCTATTGTGATGCAAGAAAGCAAAATTCTTTCTCAAAATGTCACGGCTGAACCTTGTCTGAATTCGATTGGCTCTGCCCCGGATGTGGAGGTCCTGGCTGAAAGCATGTACGGGGATTTCGAAGCCGCTATGGACCACCTACGCTACAGACTCATAGCGACGAGGAATCCAGAGGAGATCCGTGGAGGAGGGCTTTTGAAATACAGCAACCTTTTGGTGCGGGATTATCGTCCAGCCAGCGAGACTCAGATAAAGACGCTGGAGCGGTACATGTGCTCACGCTTTTTCATAGACTTCCCTGATGTGCAGGAACAGCAGAGAAAGATCCTGTCCTACTTGAAGAATCATTTTATCGGCGAAGAGAGGAGTAAGTACCAGTACCTGATGACACTGCGGCGCGTGGTGGATGACAGCACCGTGTGTCTGATGGGACATGAGCGGAGACAGACCCTCAACATGATCACAGTCCTGGCTCTCAAAGTGCTGGGCGAACAGAACATTATCCCCAACACAGACCATGTGACCTGCTTCTACCAACCTGCACCCTACATCACCGAGCCCAGCTACTGCAGCTACTACATCCCCCAGGGGGGCTCTACTCTGCTCTACCAGCCATACCCTTTACACCTGCACTCACAGACGGGACTGGTCTAGGGCTCACTCAGCAAACACAACCACAGCTGAGTAAAGACAACTGTGCTCAAATCAAATCTGGAGAATAGATTATAATCCAGGGATAAACTGTTGGTCTATAATAGACCTCTGGAGGTGGGATTGAGTGGGTTTCTCAGTAAACTCCGTGAGGATCTAACATGATTATATGTAATTATATGGGCTTTGTGGGAAAATAATAATTCTTCCGATATTGTTAAAATTCCAGAAAATGCCGTATGCACTGCATGAGTCATCGGCCTTTGGTCTCCATGGGAAACCAACTGCGCTGCTGACACTCGCCGACACAAACACACAAGCACACACACAAACCAGGGCCTGTTCCAGCTATTAGTGGACAATAGACTTACAAAAATGGACCCCAAAGTTATCTGTGTTTATCTAATAAGCTTAGGAATAAAGGGTGGTCATTTCCTACCCTTTGTAAACATTGGCTTGGTTCCACATTTTATAGACTCTGTGGTTTAAATGAGAAAAATGTTGTTGTTCAGTAACTAGCATGCTCTCTTATCTCTAAACTCTAAATTATCTGATCAAATTTTGGTCCTCACAATCTTCAACATAAAAATGACAGCAAAAGCATGACTTTTTAATATGCTTTGTCATTGTATAGTTGAAGTGTTATCTCATATTTAGTCCCATATTGGTTTAATTCCAAATTCAGTGTAACAAGTTCAGAAATTGCCCCGCCCCAAATAACATTTTACACAGACCCTCACACTCACAGTGTCTAGAATGGGCCCTGCGTTCAGACTGTACATAGACACTCCTATCGGCAGGCCCTTCTCGTGAACTTTTCCATGTTCTTACTGTGGCGTTGTCAATGGGTTTGTTCAGACGTGGACTTTTTGCCTGTGTTTGATATTGTGCATGGATCAGAGGACTGTTCTCTCACTGCCAAATACTGTGTGACTACTATGCTTCTTAACAGTTCAATGTATCTTCGTTATTTACTAAAGAGTCATATTTTGGGGTATAAAAAACATTACAGAGACTACCAGTGTGTACAGAAATCTCACACATGCACGCACAGCCAAAACATATACACAATTATATGCACACAAACAATGCATGAGTAGCTTACTATTTATTTAGACAACATACAGAAGTCCAAGCAACGGATTTTAACTAAATAAAAGTATCTATTTTTGCAAGAATTTCCAAGATTATACTCAATGGTGATTAAAAATGTGATTTCTATGTGGTAATTGCCAACAACAATGCCTTTGCAATAGTACTGTACAGTGTATAAGTTACAGTATTGTGTGAAAAATACGCATTGTTTTCAGGTTCCATGTGTTAGGATGTAGTGCTTGATTCCTTTCCGTTGTGGAGTCTTTTCTGTGAAGTACTGTACAATCTAGTGTTGGCTTTATTTATCGATAAAGTTTACTCAATGGAGGCGGAGAAACCATCTTTGGGTCATCTCAAAATGTGATGGATATGATCTGTCAAATTGTTTACATTTAAGTTACCCCTCCTGGATTTTCAAAGGCTGTGCTCACGCTGGACTCAATAGTGGCCCGTTTGTTTTTCATGTTATAATATCGTTTAGATTGACACATATCTTTATTACAAATTTGCAGTCAAAAAAGGCAAACAGTACAAAAAAACATACAAAAGAATAAGAGTTTCCAATATTACTCTATAAAACTATAAAATCACCATCTTTCCTGAATTACTCCTGAAAACTTTTAGACATACAGTAACATTTCTTAAAGGGCCCATATTACGCTATTTTCTGATCTCTGTTATAATGTTGTTTCCTCATCAAAAACATACCTGGAGTTGTATTTTGTTTCATTCACACATGTTCAACACACAAACCCTGCATATTTCTCTCAAACAGAAAACACTCTGTTCCATCCTGTGATGTTGTGCGGTAATACAGGAAGTGCTCCACTGTGTTTTTAAACTCTATACACCTTCACTAGAATCATTTGGATCATTTCAGTCCTGGAATTGCCAATCTCTACTGAACTAAAGTTAAAAGGTAGCTGTTAACTTGAAAACTACTCCTTCATGACATTACAAGGTGAAACAGAGCATTTTGAGATTTGGAGATGTAGACAGTAATACAACATGTGTGTGTGAAACAAAATACAACGCCAGGTCTGTTTTTGATGAGGTAGCAGTTTTGTGTAATATAGAATAATAATAAATAATATATAATATAAAACAGCTTATAGTGTATTAACTCTTGAGGACACAAACAGTTCACTGGCACCGGTCCATCTGGGACTTTTTAACAGATTTCATTGTCAGCCACTCAGTCTTTGTAGGCCCTTTTTTCGATAATTCACACACAATAGTGTTTATCATTGTTTATATGAAAGAGCCCTCTCCAGAGAAAATCCATTATTTCACAGTTGTTTCAGTACTGTCAACAATTTGAGAGAGGACACTGTATATTCAACTGTTCTTGCATGACAATAAATTAGCTGTTCTTTTGAAATTGTGTTACGACAACATTTGATCATAGAGACAAGTGTTTATTTTAGTGATTTAACATAGATTATCAGAATGGTTTATTCTAAAATTGCAGAACATTTGATATGATTTAAAACTGTGCAAGTTAAAAAACATGGTGAATGTCAAATTTCTAACATACTCTTGAATTTGGCCTTCAGCACCACGGACAGCTCCAGTGTTGATTTGATTAATAACACTTTTTATTTATAATCCACTTGTTTTAAGAAAACTAGGTAAATAGTTCCACCAAGTTAATGAATCTAAATGAGTTAAAGGTGCACTATGTAACTTTTTATGGTGGAGGGTTTGACAGCTGCTTAACTCCATGGAGACCTCCCTATTGGTTTGCCTGAAGTGTTCAACAGTATAACATTTCACTGATATCATGTCACTCTATGTCATTTAACCTTTTCCTTTTTCCAAATCTCAAAGTCTTGGCCCGTTTCATGTCCAGTGTGAAGCAGCCTTTCTCTCTTCACTGGGACTAGGGAGAACCGGTTCAGATCCACCTCAGTCTAAGTTCAGAGCGACTTCTATGACCAAAGATGGTTGAGCGGGGACTTTAAGTGCCTAAACGTGGGACATGTGTTTGGAGGCATGTCTCATCTGTCTGCATTGGGGGTGGGACCGGGATGGGTTTGTGTCCAGTTGTTGACCCCTGTTATTGCTGCCTGTTTTGATGTCTTCTTTAATGTAGTCCTTTGTTGTATTTTGTTCATGTATTTTGATAAAATAAAGGAGAAAACAAACAAATAAAGACGTTTGGGGTGAATGTGATTTGATTTAATAACACTTGTGATTAGCATTTATAGTTAGGGTTTGTGTTTTGCATTTATGTTTAGCATTTGCAGTGAATAAGATCCAGGACTAAGAAGTCAGCTGGAAACTAACACACCCTTTTTCAGTGTTATTATTAGATTTTTTAAATCAACATAGGGGTTTATCTGGTCAAAATCATTACACATCACTTGTCAGAATTGAATTGCTGAAGACAATTTAAGATAAGAAAATAATCTTTATTTATTTCTAAAGGTGCACTATGTAACTTTGAGGAGGTGAAATGTTCCATAGTATGGCTTTAAACTAAATAAACATAAAAATGCAATACAAAAATAACTGCATTGCTAAATGCACAGTTCCAGATGTTTAATACTATACAGTGGAACCCATCCATCCATTTTCTTCCGCTTATCCGGGGCCAGGTCGCGGAGGCAGCAGTCTAAGCAGGGACTCCCAGACTTCCCTTTCCATGCACACTTCCTCCAGCTCTTCCAGGGGGAACATTTTTGGCAAAGCAATAACGTCTCCATGGAGATCGGAAAAATGACATTGTCCACACTGTATTGTAAACAGTAGCGCTGACAAAAGATATTCAGGTTATCAATATTTACCATCTACATCTCCATCTCCCACCATAAAATCCCAATCAAGTGACAACATCTTACCATGTCCCATCTTCTAATATGTAAACAAAAAACAATATTGAATATAGACATCAAATACCTTTAATATAATTTACAGGTATGAAATGAAACCACACACTATAAGCTGAAAACAACAGCTCCCTGCTTGGACTGATTTGGTCTTGTCTTGTCTTGTCAAAAAAAAAAAAAAAAAAAGAAACACTGTTGGAATCCAGGCTCTTATCGCAAATCACCTGTCCTTCAGATGTGTGCGGAGCCACTGACGCACACGCTACGCAACACAGTGGTCTCAACAGTGTGTAAATGTGAGAAGAGCGTGGCCACTGAGGTGTGAGGGGAGGGGGAGGGGCTTGGTGCTATAGCAGGCTGTGCACAGGGTCTCTCGGTAGTAGCATCAGGTGGTGCTGCTGCCTGGGATTAGTAATGGGGAATGGGCCAGTGTAATGAAACAGAGATGACGTCCACAGAGAGACAAAGAGAGGGAAAATAGCGGTAATTGCATGGGGTTTATGGGAAACTGTGTTCTGAGAGGAAAGAATGTAATGTCTGAGAATGTGGTATGATAATGGTTCTCAAAATAGGCCATTGGTATCGCATAAGAGTAGACTTCGGGATTGTGATGGAACATCTCATAGTATTTCACTGAGTTTAATGTTAAAGCAATGGGATTTTTAGATGCTAAATAAAAGTATTGTGACCCTAGTGGGATGTTCTGTGTGTATCTCTATGGGTGTTTTTTCACGTTTGTCCTTAAAATGTCCATATTACACTATTTGCTGATCTACATTTTAACGTTGTGTTCTCACCACAAACAGACCTGGAGTTGTGTTTTGTTTCATTTACACATGTTTAACACACAAACCCTGCAGATTTAAGTTGAGTTCCTCTCATGTGGTATTACAGGAAGTGCTCCCCTGTGTTTTTAAACTCCATACACTAGAATCATTTAGAACATTGGATTTCTGTTGACCGTATTTTAAAGGGCCCATCTCATGCAATATCAACTTTTCAGAGCTTTCTACCTTCTAAGAGTGATGTGTGATCCTTGTATATGTCGCCGAAGTGGTTTTTATATTGATTCAGCGTTTTTTTGTTTGTTTTTTTTTACAAATTGCAACGTATTTTTGCCACCCTCCCACGTAACAACGGACTAAAGCTGCTACAACGATGACGCAGCAGCTACACCTATGATGCGTTTGACGTTGCAGAAAGTGCTTTGCACCCACCTCCCTCCCCCGCTCCACCGCCTCTGCCACGCCGCCGCCCCACCTCCACCTTGCATCGGCTGATAATTCCCACATGAACACCCTGTACAGGTCAATAGGCTAAACTATCAAACAGAAACTGTAAACAAGTAGGTGTGTTAGTTTCAGAGTAGTTAGTTACCTTCTCCCTGCAGACAGATATAAGCAAGTGTCCACCAACATTCTGACCAGAACTGAAGAAGCAGCTTGGATGAGCTGCGAAACGTCTTCAACCAAACTAACTTTTTTCCAGTCGACAAAATGAATTTTCTCCTCGCCATCTCTCCTCGGTTAAAATATTGTGTTGTTTTTTTTTTTACCCACAAGAGTTCTTGTGTAACAGGCCCTCACATGAAAAATATAAGCATTTTTAACTTATTTATGTATTTATTTATTGTGATAATTGACTTTCAGTTAAACATATAATTAATGATTCTACAAAATTGATCTAATTGTTTTATTTATTGAATGTACTTTAGTGAGAAGCTTAAATTATAGAAATTTGTAATATTATACATGTCTTTGCTCCACCAACACACCACCACTACTACATTTTTAATCCTACATCTCATATAGTGTCCTATTCAAACATAATGATCCTCTTCCTTGGATCCTGACAGTTATCAGTGTGCACCACATAATAAGTACTACATACAGTCTTTTACAACTCCACAGGGATCTAACGCACAGCGCACACATACTCACGCATGTGAACAAAAAACATAATTATTATTTATGTAGCTGTCAGCCCACCCAGTGAAATGAGCCATTATAGGCACATCAGGCTCCATCAGGATCCTCATTTCACTGAGTCTATAGTTACAGTGTAAGGGCTTCGAAAACACTGACACTTTTACTGTGTGCTTCACCCACACCTCTGATTAGGTCACGGGGAGGGTGGGCTGGGCATTTCATTTTAAAACCAGGAAAAAGAAGGCTGTTCCACTGCAAAAATGTCAGAAAATTAATGAATGAATAACTTTGGTTAAAATGACTTAAAGGGACAGTCTGAAATTTTGGACACAGGACCTCATTTCCTAGTGAGCCAGAGTGTTGGAAACATGTGGAAACACTTTTTGAAATATTCCATCCAGTCCTTGTATTTGCAGAGGTCGCTGGTGCTAGGCTAGTGCATGTCAATGGCCATAGTTATCCTGCCACTAAAAAACCCTCTTACCCTCTCCACAAAACACCCGAAGCAAAAATATTATTACTCCAGACTGTCGATTTGAATGTTTGTGTTGATAGAATAATTTTTGAAATAAAACTAACCTTGCATCGCATTAATCACCACATGCTGAGGGACTATTTTCTTAGCAGCAGTGGAATTTTTCTTTGCCAGTAAGATAAGTGCGAGGTGATATCAGTCCGCCGCTGCCAAGCTTTCTATCAGGAAGTACAACTCACTGCTGCTGCTTCGACAGAAATCCTTCAAATGCAAGGTTGGTTTTACTTCTAAAATTACTCTATCGACACAGACATTTACATGGACAGTCTGGTGTAATAATAGAGTTACTTCGGGTGTTTTGTGGAGTGGGTAAGACTGTTTTTAGTGTCAGGATAACTATGGCCATTGACATGCACTAGCTTAGCCCCAGTGACCTCTGCAAATACAAGGACTGGATGGAATATTTAAAAAAATGTCTCCACATGTTTCCAACACTCTGACTCACTAGGAAATGAGGTCCTAAATTCTGGACTGTCCCTTTAAAATCAGAAAACATAACTTGTATTTGTTTTGTATTGACTATGCTAAATTACATGACATCTAGAATACTGCGGCTGGTTCCAGGGATATTTTAGCCAGGCTGGCGCCACCTAGTGCCTCCGCTCAATTTTATTTCTCTCCAGCGACTAAGTCAGGAATCAGAATACACTACAAGGTTTGCAACAGCCCTGGAAGTGCGAGTTCAGGCACCAGCCAATCAGAGAAGAGCCAGACATTCTGTGTTGGCAACGATTCCCGAGATCGAGGATTTAAAGCTGGAACAAAGTGAATGTTTGGTAAATTTTATCAAGGGGAAAGTCGTTATTGTCCTTCTTCCTACGGGATTTGGGAAAAGTTTAATATACCAGTTAGACCAGTTAGCTGCGCATTTCATACATCATGACAAAATAGCAGTTATTGGTTAAATTAAAAAAGTACCTGCCTACTGTTGAGCGAACGAATTCCAAGTGAAACCGGCTGATGAATCAGGCTAACTGGACAGGGCAAGGCACATCATATTTTAACACACGATCTGTTACAAATGTAATTCAAAGTGCTTTTTAGAACAAGACGGTGTTGCACAAATCACAATACGATCATTACAAAGAAATAAATGATAAGATGATAATGACTATTTCTGTGTTGGATCTTCTCATTTTCTGTGCCGTTTACAAAAATGCATTTAATTGGGTTTGAACAATATTACCTAATTTTACATTTTTACATACTATTTTATCTCTGCACCACATCTACAGTCTTTTACTTCCTTTTGCCTATAGAGAAATCCATTATCATAAATCATAATCTCTCCTTCCTTCCTTTCTATTCTTAACCCCTGTGTGTCCTATATTCCTGTTTACTCTATCTATACTCCCATTTCGTGCGCATACTACCTTATATAGCCTATATCGTATAATAATATAATAACTTTTCCTGTTTTCCTCATACATCACAATTATAGCGTATTACCCCTTTTCTCCAATGAATAAATCCATAAGAAATCTCTCCATCCCTCTCTCTTTACCGCCTTTCTTTTCATCTTCGTGTATATTATTATTATTACCACATTAATATCTCAACGGGGCTGCTGGTGTGGTCTATAAAATGGAGGGTTACAGGTTCAATTCCCGATTAAGATGTCGTGTTGCTGCGTTCACAAAGTTCACGCCCATTGACACTCCAGTTGTACATGGAAGGGTATATGAAACTTCAGAAAAATTAGTCTCCAAGGTTCACAGAGTATGAGAAAAAAATATAATAATCTTAAACTTAATCCCCGTCATAATCTGTGTTTTCTATCTCCCGTGTAATCCAGTTTATCTATACCTCTTCCTTCCTCTTCATATCTAAATTTACATCTTATGCTTCCTTAATCTCATGAATCAATCGCTTCCTTTAATACTCCTGTCTCTTCGCCTCCTCTTGTTCTTCGGTGTGTGGGTCTCCCCTGTCTTTCCCATCATCCTCTCTGCTCGTCTCTTGTCTCTATGGAAACGCTGAGTGGACATGAGCGTGCCTTATAGGTCCGCGAAGGCACTGATCCAGCCACTATCAGATCACACGGAGTACAACTACAACGCGCCCATGAACAACGCATCATATGGAAAAGAGACTATACACTACAAAAAAAAAAAAAAAAAAAAAAAAAAGCAAATATCTAGATGCTGAATTATGGGTTTTCAGTCGGGTTGTGTTAAAGGCACACTATGTAACTTTTGGAAGGTCTGCTACCTGCTTCTCACCGTGGAGATGTTACTGCTTGACCTGTATGGCATTTCTGTTTTGCGTTTAATCATTAGAGGGTGTTTCTATTGTTCAAAAAATACCTTGAAAAATGTAATGAAAGTGAGGACGCCTTTCCGTAGAGCTGACCTGTAACTTTTAGCCTTGTGGCATCAGCTACTTGTCTCCATAATGCTAATAAATACCATAATGTTGAACAAATCAGGGAAAACTATACAATCTCCAAGGAAATATGCACAAACTTTACACAGTGGATGTTTAACTTTTAAGATGTAGATATATTAACTTGCTTTTCCTCTAATTTGGTATATGAAAATATGTTTAACTTGTTTCGATACAAATCCTATTTCAACCAAAATGTTTAACTTATTGATTAAGAAAATTACACTTAGTATTTGCTAGCATTTCTCATTTGAAGCTAAATAATCCTAGCCTGATTCATCAGCCGGTTTCACTTCGTGGAAACCGTCTGACTTCGAAATCTCTGCTATTTGGTCATGATGTATGTAATGCGCCGCTAACTGGTCTAACTGATATATTAAACTTTTCCCAAATCTCGTAGGAAGAAGGGCAATAACGTCTTTCCCCTTGATAAAATTCACCAAACATTCTCTTTGTTACGGCTTTAAATCCTCGATCTCAGGAATCATTCCCAACACTGAACATATGGCTCTTCGCTGATTGGCTGGTGCCCGAACTCGCACTTCCAGGGTTTGTGCAAACTAGTAGTGCAGGGGTGTTCAAACTTTTTTCATCAAGGGCCACATATCTAAACACAGACAAAGCAGAGGGCCAATCGAGGGCTGTAGACTGATGCTCAGTACAGGAAATAATTGAAATATTTGCATGTTTAACACATTAGAATGAGCCATCAGTCTTTATTCAGGCTAAGATCCTTAAAACCACACACTAAATATTAAATATTAGCTTTATCAAGGTAGATTTTCAAAAAACTTGCAGTAAATTAATAATTTTTCAATTGATGCAATGTAATTTGGGCCAGTTCACCTGGAAGTTTGAAGGCCAAGAAAAACTTGTATGAGGGCCACATTTGGCCCCTGGGCCATAGTTTGGACATGCCTGGTCTCGTGTATTCTGATTCCTGACTTAGTCATTGGAGAGAAATGAAACTGAGCAGAGGTACTAGGTGGCAACAGCCTGGCTACTGTCCATTGTCCATTATATTGTAATAAGGATGGAGCATAATTGGTAACTTTTAGCAGTACTGTTACTTTCAACTGTAGTTATCGTAAATTCCGAAGAATAAGTCGCTACTTTTTCCTCACACTTTGGGCCCTGCGGCTAATAAAATGATGCAGCAAT